CAGCATTGGAAAGGGTATTAAGTCCACCTCCCCATTACAGGCTGATTTCAGTTTAGCAGAGAGTAGGAAGGATGGCTGGGGGCACATCCCCCATACCTGCCTTCTGCTTGCTTCTTCACCTTGCTCCGAAACAGACGGTACTGGCCAGAGCCTTAAATAAGACGTTGGACTTAGCGCGAAGCTGTGTCTGATTTGTCCTGGTATTTCCCCTGGTTCTGTGGGACGGGATGTCATGGCGAGCGGGATGAGATCTGACATCAGCGTCACTGAGCAGCAGACCATCAGGCCGCTGCAGCAAGGCTAACACATCGCTGTTGATTGCACTAGGATGGGACGGGATTAGGTAGTACCAGCAAAAAGTGCTGTAACTCAGTTATTCTCTGTCTTTCCGTCGTTCCAAATGAAGATGAAATTGCCACCACGTGGACAGCACTGTGATTCATAGGGTACTCAAAAGCATTAGAAGTGTTTTTTTGTGGGTTTTTTTTTTTTTTTTAAAGGAATGCTCTTGCCTCCTGCTGCTAACAGCTAGTAAATGCATAGCAGGGAAATTCCAGATGGGTAAGAGAAAGTTAATCTGCCAATGTTCAAATAAGGCAAGTAGAATAACTACCATGGTTATTAGACACTTAGCTTTATCTCAGTGTAAAGCATGCTAAAGGAAAAAGTGATTACTAAGTACGGATGATGAATCTGTTTCACCTTGGGAAGATAAAGCACCTCTTCAGAGAAATAAATTGCTGTAAACAGGCATGGGCAAAACAGGTCCATATCAAGTGTATCAAAAATCTGAAAAACTGATTACATTTGAACTACTCAGAAACATCCTCGCTTTGGCTGGAGGTCTTGCAGGGGGGTCACTTGCCATGCAAAAGCATTTTAAATAAAAGTCTGTGCTTCCTGTAAGGACTTAAATAAAGCACAAGTCTAAAATATTGTAAATTTTTGATTAACTTACTGATCAAAATATAAAATAGTTACCAGCTACCAACATATCATCCTGGACTATCTCAGTGGGTTTTTTTTTTTAGAGGAGCTTATGCATTGACTACCATCCCTTTTCAGAATGCTTTTCCATGTCAGTTCGGTCCTATTCCATTAGTACTGAGGCATCATTAGCAGAATAGACCTGCTTATAGAGACTGAAGCTGCAATAAAACCAGCTGAAGGAGGAAGTCATCAGTGTCCTTGCGTAGCCATTTATGACCATGTAGAGCAGACGCAACCAAAAACCCCAGCTGACTTCGCAGCACTCCGTTGTCTTTGTGCTTCACGTAAAGTAACTGCACATAGTACGTGATCAGCAAGATCCAAGCCCAGGCTGTGCTTGCACAGCAAGACCTTTATCTTGCACCTGTCAGCTGATCAAGCTGAAATCTTTCACTGCAGTCATGCTGCAGCATGGAGGACACACCAAAGGAATTCAACAATTTGTTTATCTATCTGCTGGGCTTCCCCAGCACTCAGGAAATCTTTCGACAGTATCAGGTAGGTGCACTTTATCTGTAATGGTGGAAAAACCTGACCGCGAAGCTCCTTCCTAAAACAGACTCTGGGAGCCAAGCAACTACATCTGTATGCCCCTGCGGGTAACTGCTGTTACTGCTCTAGAAGCTAACTGAATGATAGCAAACCTTTCACTGCCGGTTTCAGAGAAATCCTCCCTGATTTCTTGTGGACATCAGAGCATGCTCATACTTATGTATCACAGCTGATGCATCTTTCTGGGTGAAAGAGTCTCCCACCCTTGAGAACTTGGAATTCTGAAGTCAAAACATTTGCTTTAGTTTAAGACCTCCTGCTGATACGTGCCACAAAGCAGTCTTTGTGTCTAGAAACCTGTGAGAACAGCTATGGCCTTGAGGTTAAAACTGTTCTTCCTCCCTGGTCTCCTAGGGAATAGGGAGAGGAAGAGATCTGAGAAGAGTATGTAGGAAAGCTTAGAAAACCCCTGGTGTCCCATTAAGCAGGCATTTTAAGTTACTTGCCTAAGAAGTGTTTTGTTTCGCAGCAAGGCACTTTTGTCCACCAGTCACTGTTTTACATCTTCAGTTTAAGTGTTAGCACCAACCCTGCCAACCGAAACAAGAACCAGGACCACAGAGATACCTTGAAAATACCCAGGCTTTCAGAGATGGCCAAGTGAGAGAGATTTCCCTTACAGTCAATGGCCACTGGGTATCAAATACTTTTGTACACTTGCAACTCTCAGCCCTACATCACACGCTTCTTACAGTGAGTGCTCTTCAAGGGATCCTCAACGTTCACAGAGCGTGTAAGAAACCAGGGATTGGTCACTAAGTTTGAAGGACCCTAATGAAACCTCTGGTGTCTGAGTTAGATCTACGGCAGTTTAATCTTCTGGGCTATGGTATTGACATTGGCACCATTCAAATACCACCTCTTCTAACAGCAGCAAGTAATTGAAAGGAATTTGAAATCTTACCTGACAGTTTGCCCAGCCTTCTTCTATCCTAGCATTACCAAGAAGTGAGATTCTGCTCTCCAGTATGCAATTAGTTCCACTGACTTCATGTGCTTAATGACATAACCCAGCTGCCCTCGCGCTTTGACCCAAATGTGAGGGAATGAATTCTGTTCTCGTAAAAAAAATCTGCAGTGAGTTGCATGCAGAAAAATTAGCAGAAAATTCTTTGACAGATGCCAAATAACGTATCTTTAAACAAATACTACCATCTAACTTGCTCAACTAGAGCTTGAATAATGTCCCCTTAGTTATGTGAGGAAACAGCACAGAATGGTCACCAGTGCCAGGAGTAACTAAAACATGCGAAGAGCAACACCCACTGCCAAATCGCTGTAAAATACGTGTAAAAATAGATATTTGGCAAAATGTTAGTGATATGTCAGCAGAATTACTAGCTGGGTAGGCTACATAAGAAGTGAGCACTATTTGACTTTGAGAGCTGCCTTTCTGTTCTTTCTTGCATTTCGAAAAACTAGAGGGCTAAGTACCACTATTTCCGAACATCGGTTGTTTCAGCAAGAGAAGTTCAAAGAAGTAGGAAGCTTTATTGCATACTGATTTCTCCCTGCCCAGAGGTTCAGCTTTCGGCCTAGAAAGATCACAGACAGGGCCTCAATTCATTCCAGTTACAGAAGATACCAATTATTCTTACAATTAAAGAGAATGCACAACAGAGAGACTGGCAGTCAAAGCAAGGCAGTTCTTCTGGAGTTCGTGTCCTGTTAAGAATACCCATTTTAAAGAGTGTACCATTGTGCAGTGGCTGGCTTCCATATCTGCATTTACCACAGGTAAAAATTACGAATCAACTTGTCGACTGAAAACTGAGCTATAATCAACACTGTCCCTCCCCATTATACAAACAGCAGCATAACAGGGCCAGTAACACCACCTATAGTAACCATGGGGCTGGAGCAGCAAGGTATCTTCTCAGTTAGGAGGGACAGCCATTCCCCAGGTTCTCCCTCCCCTTTCATGTTCACCTACGCAGTTCCTTCAGGAGTTCCTTCATATCACTGGCCTCTAGCCTGTTAGACTAACAAATCAAGAATCACGTAAGAAACCAGGGACCAGGGATTGGTTTTTAAGTTTCCTAATGAAACCTCTGGTGTCTGAGTTAGATCTACGGCAGTTTAATTCTTCTGGGCTATGGTATTGACATTGGCACCATTCAAATTCAAATACCACCTCTTCTAACAGCAGCAAGTAATTGAAAGGAATTTGATATCTTACCTGACAGTTTGCCCAGCCTTCTTCTATCCTAGCATTACTGAGAAGTGAGATTCTGCTCTCCAGTATGCAATTAGTTCCACTGACTTCATGTGCTTAATGACATAACCCAGCTGCCCTCGCGCTTTGACCCAAATGTGAGGGAATGAATTCTGTTCTCGTAAAAAAAATCTGCAGTGAGTTGCATGCAGAAAAATTAGCAGAAAATTCTTTGACAGATGCCAAATAACGTATCTTTAAACAAATACTACCATCTAACTTGCTCAACTAGAGCTTGAATAATGTCCCCTTAGTTATGTGAGGAAACAGCACAGAATGGTCACCAGTGCCAGGAGTAACTAAAACATGCGAAGAGCAACACCCACTGCCAAATCGCTGTAAAATACGTGTAAAAATAGATATTTGGCAAAATGTTAGTGATATGTCAGCAGAATTACTAGCTGGGTAGGCTACATAAGAAGTGAGCACTATTTGACTTTGAGAGCTGCCTTTCTGTTCTTTCTTGCATTTCGAAAAACTAGAGGGCTAAGTACCACTATTTCCGAACATCGGTTGTTTCAGCAAGAGAAGTTCAAAGAAGTAGGAAGCTTTATTGCATACTGATTTCTCCCTGCCCAGAGGTTCAGCTTTCGGCCTAGAAAGATCACAGACAGGGCCTCAATTCATTCCAGTTACAGAAGATACCAATTATTCTTACAATTAAAGAGAATGCACAACAGAGAGACTGGCAGTCAAAGCAAGGCAGTTCTTCTGGAGTTCGTGTCCTGTTAAGAATACCCATTTTAAAGAGTGTACCATTGTGCAGTGGCTGGCTTCCATATCTGCATTTACCACAGGTAAAAATTACGAATCAACTTGTCGACTGAAAACTGAGCTATAATCAACACTGTCCCTCCCCATTATACAAACAGCAGCATAACAGGGCCAGTAACACCACCTATAGTAACCATGGGGCTGGAGCAGCAAGGTATCTTCTCAGTTAGGAGGGACAGCCATTCCCCAGGTTCTCCCTCCCCTTTCATGTTCACCTACGCAGTTCCTTCAGGAGTTCCTTCATATCACTGGCCTCTAGCCTGTTAGACTAACAAATCAAGAATCACAAAGTAATACAGTAGAAAATTAAGTCCTTTGCATCTGCAACAATATGTAGATTGCCACTCAGTCTATGCTCTCAGGCCAACGACTTAATACTTAATGTAAGAGATTCCCACCCCCCACCCAGTCGGAATCCTTTGCTCAAGTTTTTTTAGACACAGAAAGAGAATGTTTGTCTCCTAACTTAGGAAAGAATCAGGTGTAATAGGAATCCAGTGGACCACCTTCTTTAAAGAGAACACAAAACTGTGTGGAAAAAGATTGTCCGTTCCTTGGCTGACTTGGAATTTCTTACGTGATGTCCTTCTTTCTCGGGGGCCGGTGAATATTCCTCACCACGCACTTCACCATCCATTCAATTCCCTCGTTCAGTCCTTTGCTAAGGAAATAAGATAAGTAGACAAGATTTAAAAAAAAAAAAAAAAAAAAAATCAACAAAAGAACAAACAAACAAGAACAAGAACATGGCTCATGTAGTCCCTAACTGAGCTCTTACAAGAGCAAGTGAAGGGTTCTGCAGTTATTTATTGGCATTACTGTTAGTTTCTCATACACACAAACAGTGGGGATCTGATTTCTTTTAACTCGGTATGTAAACTCCATCCTTTACTTTTCTGGTGTCTGTACAAGTCTACATCCAATTTAGTTAGTCATCAACTCTGTGGAAACCTTGGGATGAACAAGCATCAAACCACTTGACAGTCAGCTGGTTTGAGGTTATTTTGCTACAAGCCTCAGGCTAGTTGTATCAGATCTTCCAATCCTGGCTACAACTTTCTGTTATCATCCGTGCTGGGACTGCCAAGCCAGTCACCAGCTCACTGCTCTGCCCAGCTTCCCAGCCATGACTTCCACAGTTGTTTTTTTTTTTTAGTACAAACTGAAATTTTGAAAGGAAATTCCACACAGATTAAAACTAGAAGCGTTTGCACAAAAACCACAACAATTGAAAAGGTTGCATTTCATAAGATTATTATCTAATACTTCTCTTCCAGTCAGTGCTTAACCATTGTTCTTGTGGTCATTCATCTGCTTAACGGCATTTGATTCTTAGCAATGCAGACAAGAGATTTTTCTCATGGTTTAAGAAGCTTTTCTTATCCTTTGCAATAGCTTGTATAATAATACAGCTTTCTTGCTAGATTAAAAAAAGAAGAAATCTCAAAACTCTGGATTCAGCACAGGCAGTAGTTCAGACTGGAGTATTTCCAGCCATCCAGAACAGTACTTTTGACTTATGCCAAATAGCACTGTTCACCCAAAGACCTGAAAGCGTAACCAAAGTACTGCAAGACTCAATGTGCAATAGCGATGCTAAGACGTCAAGAATCTCGTGGGTCGGTCAAAGTCACAGCATGCAGCTGTGTGGCGTGCAGCTGCATAGGCCTGAAGAAGAATCAGTCTCCCAAATTTTGGTCTGTTCTAGTCATTGTATCTTAAACCACAGGCGTCCCCAGTGTAAGAACACTCTTGGACATTGTTATATTATCTACATAACAAAGCTCATCTGCACACCAAAAAATATGAAAGCAAGAGCATAACCTCTCTGCCAACAATGGAACACCACTCATTTCTTTGGCAGGGTCATAAACAGCTATATTTTCAACTGACTTCGTACATAAAAGCCAGGAGCTGCAGCAAGCCAATGACCGCAAAGATTGTTGTGTACGGAGAAGGGATGATAGAGGACAAGAATCAACAGCTCCATATGCCTCCAAGTCCCGTTGCTCTCAGCCAGTAGAACATTTTCATCGTGTTTCATAGGCGGGATTTACAGATGAAGTTACTGACCTGGTGCAAGTCCAAGGTTCACAAACAAGTATCTGCCACTGCTGGGAAGGAAGCGCAGCTCCCTTCCAGGGGTTATTGAATCCTATAGTACTGCTCTGCTTGTGTGACGCCCTGCAGCTGTTCAGTTAACCAAAACACCATCCCTTCTCACACTTACCCAGTAAGAGCAGAGCAGGCTTGTGTCAGGCAGTCTCTCTTCCCAATTTTGTTAATGCAGTCACTAAATGCTGTCTTGATGTCAGGTATTGACAGACAAGTCTGCAAGGGAAACCAAAGAAGAGCTTGCTTTCTGTGCTACAAGAGGTGGTGACCTTCTTCCAAAATGAATCCTACCACATCCACAGTTCTGCTTCAGTCAGGACGGCACAACGCTGTTATGTTAAACCCCCTCACCCACTAACACAGCAAATTTACTTCTTTACATTCCAAAAAAAATGAACATATTCTTTTTTCACCAAAGAGAATGCTATTTTCAGACAGTATACATGCACCTCCCTGACCCTCAAGATGTACATTTCTAAACAAATAGTCATGAAAACGAGCACAACCTGCACACCCTCGGGATACTCCTTCCAGGCCGCCCCAATCATCACACACAAGTTCTGTCTACCAGAACACTACAAGAGCGCATCTATTTACAAAGCCTTTCGAAACGGTGTACCTGGCAGAATCCCAGACAAGCCAGTTCCTGTAGCTGACTCTTTGCCAATGGCCTGGATCACGTGCCCCTACACACGCACTCTCAGAAAATGGCTTGGACGTGATTTTTCCTAAGTTCTCAGCATGTTCCTTGACATTAAAGGCATAGCTGGTCTGGACTTGTTTGTTTGCATTTTGCATGCAGGAGAAAATGCTGACAACACTAAATGCAGCACATGTTCTGATGCCTGGTGTCACTTTGTTCTTGATCACCATCAGGTCTTGCACTTGTGTAAGGCTGCTAGGAGATTGCTGGGAAGTGGTTTTGAAATACACAAATGCATAAACCCCCCAGTAAACCAGTGGATTACTTTCCTGACATAAGTCACAGTGTTACCCCAAAAATTCTATTCTTAGAGTTACAAACACAACAAAAGTAAACTTGCCCTACTCAAGTCTAGACTTGCATCTTCCTCCCTGAACACAGGAAGCAGGTACAAGAAAAATCACCAGCCTTTAAATCCTTTTCTGATCTCAGTGCTCACTTTTTCTTCAGAAGCCTTGGACAAGCCATTTAAGCACTTTAGCTGGCCACGAGCGCAGCTTTCTTCCACTCTCTGCAAAGGCATTTTGGACCTTCAATGAGGCTCGAATACACGTTTTGGGCAGGTGCTTACTCAAATGCCAAATTGGACCCTTGTGAGTCTTGAGGATTAGTCCAAGTGGATGTACACTTTGAAAGAGCAGACTACCTGCAAACAGGAATTCAGTCTTCTACAAGTCTGGGCCTTAACGTAGCAGAAAGATGGAAATTGATACCAGCTATCCATTTTGCAAAATACTGGTTCTGGAGAAATTAAATACAGGAAACTACTGTGGGGATGACCATGTGACAAATAAGCAGGTTTCAATGCTTATAAATAAGAAGGGTTCTTAAGAAATGGCTTGAGAGGAGTTTAATGACAACCAATTCACACAGTGCCCTTGAATCCAGAGACTTGTGATTTTCCACTGTGAAGGGCCTAGAATCCATTAGTTGCACAACTTTTGATGACTGTACTTTCTTATGACCTAAGTTACATTTCAAACTTGCAGTTTCAATCAATGAGCTGGAAACTGTATCCAGAAATGTTACTTACTTCACTGCACCAAAGCCCTAACAGCTTACTTCAGGATTTCTGCCAAATGAAAAACCTGCAAGTCATAAAGATGAACTGTCATCCACAGGATAAATAGTTAAATAAATTAAAAGAAAAAAAAAAAATCAAATGCTAACTTTAGAGGAAGTCAGACTGGACTTGGGAGTTGGAATTCATACCAGTAGGTCTGGAAGATGGGCAAGAGATTACTACCAAACAACCATTCTCTACAAGTTTGTAAAAGATGCTACTTTAGTTTTGGTATGATGTTCACTGCCAAATAAGAAAGAAAAGGGGTCCAACTGCCTCTTGATTTAAGCCAAAGCTCTAGACAAGTCAATTACCCAACAACTGGGAAGGAAGAAGAGCTGCATGTCAGTAATTTGAGCTATTTTTCATGTCGTCGCTTTTTTTCAGCAAATGAGACTTGGCAGCAGGAAGGTGAAATCCCAAGGCAGCTGAAATGGAGCGAACGTTTCTTGAAATATACACAGTTTAATATCGTAGTATAATAATTTCTCCTTTTTGGAATGATGATATATTTTAAAATCTTTTTAAAATAAATTTGAGAGAAAGTGTTCAAGGTAGGAAACAACAGCGCAGAGCATAGTCATGCTGTCCTTTATTTCTGCTTACACAGGCCTGTGCAAAGCAACCAGGCAACGGACTTCCCAAAAACCACCAGCAGACCAGTACACCTGCACATATCCAGCAGCACAGGGAATCCACCTCCTTCACCTTGTCCATCCCTGAGGCCTTTGAGAAGTCCACTTTTCCCAGTGCAGCTTACAACCGCTGTAGCCATTTTTTCCCCCAGCTTAATCCATTACAATCACTTCCCTTTCTCCCCCTCTGGTATAATCGTGGCCTGCTCTAACTTCCACACAGCTGTCCAGCCATTGCTCTCCATAGAAATCTGCATCAGAAGGAGTTTTGCTTCTGAGGAGACTTTGCACCATTTACATCGTTTATAGTAGGATGTCTCTGCATCACAACACTACACCTGTTTTGAGGAACATCTTTTTCCCCTTGGCATGAAGTACAGTAACACAGCAGAGGGGACAGCACCACTACCAGAGAAGCCTTGTTTTAGTGTTCAAGGGGAAGCCATGAACTGGAAATCTTGTCTTACAGCAGAGGATGAGGCAGATTACCCATCACTTCAACCATCTGAACTTCTCATGCTTAGCAGAAAATGTCAGCTGTGGTTTCCAAGTTCCCCGCTTTTCCACCTACAAAAATATTCGTTTACAGATGTGTTTTGTTCCTCAACTGAAACCACATAAACCAAGAGCAAACTAGGGAAGCTGGATTTGTGATCACGTAAATAGTGTACCATTACAATAATAAAATCCACAGGTGACCTTTCTGGAGCGATGTTATCTACCGTACATTTCAGAGGAAACTCACACAACTTGACAAATCGTATTTCTCTCAACTTCCTCAAAAGAATGCACTGTAAACCACCTTTTCATGAAGGCTCTTCAAGGCATAGTCTAGCCAGGACTGATCTGCCTGCACAACCAAATTCCTTTTATGAAGGCTTCAGAACAGCATTACCCAAATTAAGACTCAGGAATGGTACACCTAGAAATATATCGAGCAGCAAGGCTCCATTTCTGGAGTCGCCTGCAGAAAAGCACGAACAGCTGTTTTAGGCAAAAAAGGTTGCATTGTAGAGTCTTTATCCATTTGCCAAATCCACTGCAGGAAAGACAATGCTGCTGCTTGGCCTCAGATCAGGATAAAACCTGAAGTATAGACTCGTCAGCCATCTCAAGAGTAATAGATCGGCAGAACGGAACTAAAACGGAAACAACAGAAAGGTGGATAGCCTAAGGAAAACTATTTAATAAAAAGTCTAACCAACCTGACCTATGTTCTGTGCTACCTTTTCTTACAAGCCTATTCTAAATTAAAACTTAAGCTTGTTTAAATTAAAACAAGCTTATTTACTAAAACTAATTTTACAGGGAAGCTGTGGTATTTCTTAAGTTGGAAATTAGAATGGCCGTCATGCAGAAGGCCTATTTTCTAACAACTGTGTGGAAAATAGGTAACACTATGAGTCTTCAAATACATGCTGCTACTCACCATGACTCCTCTCATTTTCCAAAGACACGAGGAGTCTTACCAACATTCTGCAGATTTCAAATTACATTTCCAAAATTTATCTTAAGATTAGGAAAGCAAAACTTCCTCCCAAGGACATCATACAACACCCGATTATTTTCATATGTCATTTTTTCAGCTCAGCTTTTCCAGTATTTTTAATAGCGTTGCAAAATGAGCCATTCTATCCTCAAGTTTTAACAGTTCATTGTACAGCTCAGAAATATACAGCTTTTATAAACCTTTAAACAGCTGCATTCACATCAAAACGGCAAATATAAATTCTTACTTTGCAGCTTTTTCTGCAGTAAACGGTAGGTAAGCAGAACTGCCTAATATTTCCAAAAGTGGCGTTCTGACTTGAAAGAGAGTCCACATGAATTATTATATATTAGAAATTTAATTCCCCTACAAAGCAATAGTTCTTTAAAAAACAAACCAAAACAAACTCCCTCCCACAACACACATTTGACCCAGTCTTTTAATTAATTACAAAACGATCCAGTTTTGAAGCCCCTGCTAAATGCAGAGCATTCTCCTGGTACAAAAAAATTCATATACAGTATTGTCACAATATTAGAACTGGTATTTTGCAGTCTACAACTGTATTTCATCTCCTGATGTGGCCAGACACCACTCATGCTTGGCAGTGCTGAGTGGATGCAGTTTACCCTAGGGTATTGGTGCTTACTAACGTCAGAATTCTTTTCTACAAGGAATTTAGCATCAGGGCCAAAAAATTCTTACACTTTATGCAATTTCAGGCATTTCAGGCATTGAGTCAGAACTTGTGTTAGCTTACTGAAAGGAATGTAAACTTGAAAAAAAAAAAAGTCAGACATGCTACTTCTGATATATTCCACAAGTCGTCTGCCGGCCTTTAAAGAGGCAATCATCGTGAATTATCTTTCATCCACATATAGCAGCAGGGTTAAGATACCACTTACCCTCCCGTATCATGATCCACGTTAACGACAGAGGGGTGCTGGTGAGAATTCCCCACACTATATGTCTGGGGATCCAGAGCAGAAAAATCTCTACCAATGATAATCCTGTAACGTTCAATTTTCTTCCAGACATCTTCAATTCTGCTAGATCAGTGGAAGAGAAACAGGCCTTCCAGTTTTCTAAACCTTGCTTAAGGGAGCCTGAATAGTTACTGAAAAATAAGCTACAGTCTCTTTAATGTTTTATTAATAGCACTGATGTCTCTCTGCTCTGTGTCCATATCCAAGATGATACTCTAGGAACAGACCTCTAAATATACAATTTAGGCATTTCTTAAAAATAGGTATACCTCCGGTCGGTACAGTTTTGCTAATCTCTTGTCACAGTTCTACGACTGCATAAAGGCACTGAATCTGTGGGCTGGACTTGGACCCTCCAGAAGGGGCAAGGAGTCAATCACAGTTTTTATGCCAAGAGCCTGTTCCAAATACCTCTTTCTAGTTGTATAAAGAAGTCCACTTGTTCAACCATTTTTCTTTAGTCTGGCTAGAGTGCCAGAAGAGCTGGCTTTTGCAGTATGCCCATAACAAAATAGACATATACAGCCATAAGGAAAATCGGAACAGCTTTCCAGGTCACTGCATACAGTTTAATGCTCAACAGCTAAAGGTAAGAGTGCAGACTGCTCCCTGCTGTAAAGCTGTAGTGTTGCATGGAAATATGAGAGTAAATATTCTGGTTTCCACACAGAGAAGACAGTCGATTTCCCCACACGCCAGAGATCACAGCAAAGTCAGGACCACAAATCAGGAGTCCCGTCTCAATCTCATGCTGCCTTTTAAGTGGAACTACATTTCTTTTATTTCTATGACTAGATAATCTTATGATCACCCAAACAAATCTTTTGTGTTGTACACGTGAAGCGTAACCAAATCCTCCTTTAAAGCCAAAGTGATCTCTCTGTAAGTCCCAAGTATTTCCCACAAGTACACTCACTGAGATAGGTGTAAAGTCTAGGGGAAGAAGCTGGGAAGTATTAGCATACTTTGAAACAGATATGACCACAGCTGCCAGGGCTGGTACTCCAAATTCTACTGAAGTCTCTGGCTCCATCTAGAGATTAATCTCTCAAACTGCAGTACTGGAATTCCAGGTACAATGCATGGAAAGGAGGAAAACATGGAAAATACCACGACCACTTCAGGCACTCTCTTCCCTTTTTTCCATGCCAGGGGAGATGAGGACTGCCCTGGATGCGTCACCTAAACAGTCACACTGTAGCGCCCACTACCTTGTCAAATACAAAACAAGAGTTTTGCAGTTCTGGATATGCTAGAAAGAACTAAAATTGTACTATCAAGAAAAAGTATTCCTTGCCATTCACTGCTGTCATTGATGGAATGCTCTAGGACAAACGGAATGTTTCATTGAACAGATCTTATCTGGTTATGGGAAAAGGATGCTATTGCTTCACATACATTTGTTGTGCTGTTCCCAGGTAATAGTAGAGCAGCATAAACAAAGTGCACTGAACATTTTTTTGCTGAATAAACAGGAAAAAACGGTATCAAGATACCAAGTCACGGTACAAGACAGACCCACGATAGCTACGTAGTCTGTTCTGTTTACATAAAAAGTTCAAAACAGCCGAGATGGGTGTGCCTGTAGTACGCTCACTTATGCCACTGGAAAAGGGTTGGAGGAGAAAGGAAAAAATTAAAACTAAATTCAAACCAACTATTCCCAGCAGCGGCAAAGCACCATAGGATCAGTCCAGGAATGTGAAACAAATTCAACATGAATGCAGAGGTCACCTTTCCAAGGCTTATTTGCTCACTTAAGAAGTAAATCTGCAATAATCTTACCTCTACATCCTGCTTGTTAGCTAACACCAGAATGGGAACCCCTTCCAGGGCTTCGCTGGTAATCATCTTCTCTATAAAGCACAGAAACAAAAACAGAGGTTTAGTCAGTTCTGGAAGATACAGTTGTGCAAATGCCTGGCACAGACTATCTGGACACAGGGATAAAGCAAGATGCTCCTTCTTGCATTACAGTTTCATTTGATACAACATTTCAGGTCTATTTTCTTCACAGATTTTTTTCCAGATCAAACTCCAAACTTGATTTTGATCACATACTGAGAATTAACGAGGTGATAAATGTAGAATGAGGAATAAAAATTCTAACATCATTAGCATAAGCACAAAAAAGAGATTCAAGGTCATTATAGGCAACAAAAGTGAGTCCTGTGTTACAGACAAGACAGACTTCAACAAAAAAGTGCAAAAGCACTACAGATGTGTCATCAACAGGCCACACAGCTTACTTCAAGGACACAGGAACAGACATGACAGTAGTGAGAGAACTGTGCCGCAATACACGATGCAATCACAGTCCAGGTAAAACACAATGTACTCACCAAAAGCTCTTTTAGATTCTGAGAGCCTCTCCTCATCAGTGGAGTCAATAACATAGATCACTCCATGAGATTCAGCATAGTACTGAAAGGATAACACAGATATTAGTGTATCTATTTGTTAGGACCATTTGTCCCTCTTCCTGATTTTTTTTTTCTCTTCAATTTGGTAAAATTTTGATACACATTGAAGAGATCAACCAGTTAGAGCCAGCTGTTTCCATAGTATATGTCCGGAGAGAAGAATGGTGGCACACAGAATGCATTGCCTGTTCTGTCTGCAGGCCTACTGAGTACAACAGATGAAAAAGCTTATCTGTCCCCCCAAAAAGCTTCTCTCTACTGGCACAACCCTCAGATATGGGTTGGTAATTGCTGTCTGTAAACACTAATGCAAACATTAAGCATTATCTTTGCTAATCTCACACAGATATAGCTGAATCTCTGGAAAAGTGTTGATGCTAAATACTAGGGTTACCAATAAGCCTGTATGATTACTAAATGCTCATACTGCTTCAATTCTAAAAGAGACAAAAACATTTCTAAAAGAAAAAAAATACGTCTCCGACCTTGTCCCAAAGAGACTGTAGCTCCTCCTGTCCGCCCAGATCCCAGAACATTAGCCGAGTTTTGCCAACATCAATAGTACCAACTAGAGGGAAAGAAGAAAAAACAATCCAATGAAAACTAAAGGTGTTCTCTGAAGCACAAACACCTGCGCACCCCCCGAAGAAATCTGGGGGAGAACAGTCTTCGAAAGGAACAAATCACATCCAGTGGCTACTTTCAACAACAGAACAATACCTTTGCAAAGAGTGACTGCTGATACCAGACGGAGTTGTATCAGTGCAAGTAACAAAAGAATCAGGCCAACAAATGACCTCCAGTGAAATTTAGCTTAACCTCTGAGCAGAGCGCTGAAACGGGATTCTTGGTTTGTTAAGACTTCAGGGTTTTTTCTCATAAGCTAAGCAAGCCTATTTTATTCTCTTCCAAAAAGACATGGGGAGTTGGGAGATATGACCTCTACTTCCAGGAACTATTTTGCCCCTGTCCATTCTTAAATATTTCAAACAAGAACCAGCTGTTGTCTCATTGTGCAGGAAAGCTGAAAAAAATCCAGACAGATTTACTTACTGTTTAAGCCTACAGTGGTTGTGATTTTGGACAAACTCATCCCTTTGTAGTTCTTGTTAAATCGAGTTTTAGTTTGTTCAAGGAAGGTCTGAAAAAAACAAGGAAAAGTATTTACTCTCAAATATTTTCCTGGCCGAGGTAATCCTAACCCAAACCTGCCTTTTCATTTCTGCAGAATCCCACTCCAGCAGATACTGCCCTACCTAACCTTGGAACAAACCACTCTTCTTGTTCCCTGTTTTAGCAAGGAAATAAGGGATCACAAGTGATTACAGGATTACCAAAGCCTCAGCTACCTCCCTGAAAGCTTATGCTAAATTTAAGTAAGAGGGAAAAGTTGATTCTTTGGTGTGATATCACTAAAATAACTCATGATACAGCTGCAGAAAGATTGACCTCTCTGTTGGAAGTTTTATCTTTGGAGGATGTTTAGAATCGCGTGTGCCCTCCATACAATTGGTAATAAACAGCACTTACGGTTTTACCAGCATTGTCCAAACCAAGGATCAAGATGCAGTACTCATCCCTCTGGAACATGTATTTATAGAGTCCAGACAGCAGAGTATACATCCTGCTCCTGCAACAAGTACCAGGAAATCATTAACAAACAGGTCATTTCCAAAAGTCTCTCATTCCACAACGCAAGTTTTCCCCAACACCAGATAAATAAATGACGTTATACTTTTATCAGTAACTCTCGTATTTAGGCAATCCAAGGACAAATCACAGATCTAAGAGAGATCATGCTAACGGCTCAAGACCAAATTTTCAAATGCACACAAGTGAGGGATTATCTTCCAAAGAGCTTAACCTCTGTTTCTGCACATAGTGCCCGGCATCCACTGCAAACTCAACCCTCATTGAAAACTACCCTGTCTGCTTGGGGGCCTAAAGGAGAGCTAAAGAAGAGCTTGAACGTCTTTTGCGGTACACGTAAGACCCACAGAAAATGAAGCCAACTTCGTACAAATACACAGAATGGGTATTTTGAGCAAGATGCGCAGGTTGGTGTCGTCGTCCCCTTGTTCCCAATCCATATAACAGTATCATGGGATCTTTAATGGTCGAACTGAGCGCAGCATATCTTAAAGGCGCATAAAACCCCCTACTTACCTTAATTTAAGCCTTATCCAGCAACAGTCTTCTGTTATGGTATCCACCATACAAGTATTTTGTCATCTTACAATGCCATGAAGACAAGATAGGTAAGTTAACGAGCCAAGAGCACAAGACTAAGAACCAGACAAAGCGACACCAACACCTGCAGGAGCCCACACTTTTTTTGTTGTTGGATTTGCACCAAGTGGAAAAGATTTGCTCAGACGCAGGAAGTATTGGTACCAAGTGCTACAGCTGACTCACGGAACATTGCAACAACTCTTCTGCTTAAATACAGACAAAGGGAACCTCAAGGCAAAGACTTTGAGAAGCGGCTGTCTTTGAGCAAGTGTGCAGATAAATGATCACTTTGAGATCAAACAACATTGCCGGGGAAAAAAGGGAAAAAAAAAGCGTTCCAGACCAGAAGTGAGGGATTTCTCAGGCTGGGGCAATCAGCGCGAGGACAGGGCACCTCAGGGCGCAGGGGCTTTACCCCCCGG